AGGGGCCCAGCCCTCCTGAGTTACCCTCAGACCCAAGAGCCCTGGGCATCTGAGGCCCAGCCTTGAGTGTCTGCCTCTGCCCCCAAATGCTTCGGGCATGGACTCCCGAACAGAGGCCATGAGGCCTCCCTCGCCAGAGGCAGGGCAGCAGGGAGGGTGACTGTTTGATCAGGGTCAGGGGCAGCTCAGTGGCAGTTGGTCAGAGCCCTGGCTGGGTCGGTTCTGGCTTGGCCACAGACAGACTCCTTCCATGGCTTTTCCCACTCCAAGCCTCAGTTTCCTCCATCTGTAGGTGAAAGGATCCAACTAGGCGATCTCTGCAGCCTGAGCAGCTTGGAGCGCTCACTGAAAAGACGGTGGGTTCCCACCCTAACAACTCTAGATTCAGAGCAGTGACCTCCCCTGCTGCTCAGGCAAAACCATGGAGGACTGGGTTTGGGATGAAGTACAAAGGGCTTGAAGGATCTGGGTTAACAATAGCACCAGCGCTGAAGGTCCTGCTTCCAAAATTAAATACTCTGGCTTAGAAGTCACACAGGTCACAGTTCATTGGCCAGAACGAGTCACACGGCTCCACCTAATCACAAAGCATTCAAAAAGTGCAATCTGAACATGTGTTCCGAAGGGGAGAGAACCAGAAGGATTTAGTGAACAGCACCAGGGACATAACAGGGCTGCCAGAGTGCCCACTGTGAGGGCATCCAGTACTGCGCCAGCGCCAGCTGGAGGGCCCCGTGGGCGCACTGGCAGCACAAATTGAATTGCAACAGCTAAACAGCCTTAACACCTCACCCCTGTGCACCCTAGATCCCAATTAACCAGGGTGGGGACAGAAAGGGCCCTTAGCCCTTCCTCTGCCTGGGGTGGAAACTCTGGAAGTAGTTTTGTCTTCCAGGGGCAGCTCTGCCCACCAGGACCAGATAAGAATCATTTATTAGCAATTAGCACTTGGAAGCTCAGCCCCCTGGGCAGGCATTCTTTTTGTTGAACTTAGTGTGCCAAGCCGAGGAGTTTACCTTCTGGAAAGACACACAGAACACACCCTGCCTCCTCCTGTGCTGTTGACAGCTGAGCAGTGTAAGTGCTAATTACAGAAGCTTTTCTGCAGGGCCCTGAGGAGAGTCTATGCTCCAAGCTTCTAGGAGATTCTTGGAGATTCTAGCTGCTGCTGGAGCTCAGTCAACAAGCACTTAGCAAACCTAGCACTGTGCTGAGGTGAGGGCCCAGGCTTTGGGATCAGGACATCAGGTTTCAAGTCCTGGCACCACCTCTGGTACTCAGTGGTCTTGGGTGAGTTTAATCTTTCTGTGCCTCAATATCCTCATCTACTAAATGGGGATATAACAGTAATACTTGATCTCACATTATTGAAAGTGCTCAGCATAGTACCATTAAATTAGCAATCTGAAAGGGCTCATTTCAGATTTTCACTTAGACTTGCTTCTGGCTAAGATTGGCTAGCTTAAATCGGACCAACTTGCTCACTGAGGAGAACTAAAAATGTGGGATTAAACATATAAGAACTCTGTTTTAGAACATGGAAGAGCTACCAAGGCAGTAAGAACTTGAGGGGCCAAAATCTTGAAGAGAAAAGAAATAATACGTGGTTTCATTTTCTTTTCCCTTGAGGCATTATGCAGTTTGTAGGGGGCTGTAGCCATGGCATTGAGTTGGGAAGTTAAAATCAGAATTTAGGGCTTAAAAAGAACAGAGGCCTTGTTTTAAAAAAAAAAAAAAAAAAAAAAAAAAACTCAGCTTTTAGCTGGGGAGCCCTAAGGGCTATCCCCTGAGAGTACTTGTTAACCATGTATAAACCAGACTCAGAAAGATGGAAGCACAGCTCCCAGGCTGGGCTAGGGTGGCCTGTCCCTCCTGTAGCTGCCTGTCAGCAGCAAAAGTAAGTCTTCTCTTGAGGAAAATGACATCATTTGGAGCCTCACTCTCTCCTACCATTTTGGACATTTAATAAAAACTTATCTGGCAATCCAAGAGATAAGACTAAATAACCCAAACCAAGAGCAATAAAACAAGCAATAGAAAAAAAGTTTTCAAACGTGGACTTTAAAGCATTTACTACATTCAAGAAAATAAGAAGAGTCAACAAAAAATTGGAATCATTGAAAAATAATCAAGTGGCAATTCTAGAATGAAAAAGTTAGCAACTGAAATTAAGAACTGAATAGATGAATTTCATAGCAGAGAAGACACAAGTAAAGAAAGGATTAGTGAGCCATATGATAGATTAGTAGAAAAATAACCAGACAGAAACAGAGAGAGGATAAAAAGGCTAGAAAACACAGAGTAGAATGTAAGAGACCTGTAGGATTATGCCAAATGGTTGAACATGTATACAATTAGTGTCCCAGAAGGACAGGAGGGAGAAAACAGGGAAAAGATAATGGATGAAAGTATTCCAAAACTGGAGTGGTGGGGGAATCAAGCCACAGGTTGCAAAAGCAACAGGAGACCTAAAAAGGACAACTATAAAGAAAAATTTCACTTCAGCACATCATAGTAAAACTGCTAAAACTCAAAGACAAAAAGTCTTCCCATAGGGAAAAGAAAAGAGAACTGTGGACCCTCCAGCACCTAGGGCCTCCCTGTCCCTTGTCCAGTGTCAGCTGTCAGGGGTCTGTTGTGAGGTGAGGTGAAGGGCCAGACTCCATCAGGAGCTGTCCCATCAGCCTCAGAGCCTTCCCCACAGGAAGGAAGGCTGGCTTTTGTCAGATAGTGTTGGACATTCGTGACAGGGGGCGGAGCTTGAAAAGGGCAGCATGGGTGGTGGCATGGGGGGGGCAGATATTTGGGAATCTCACAGCCCCTTCTGAGGGCAACAGGAAGGTGTTGGGGTTTACAGCCACATCAACTCCAAGAGTATCAAATCCTTCTCTTTAAAATGAAGCAAGATTGCATACAGTGTGATCCACATTATGTTCTCTGACTCTGGTCTCGGAATGTCTTGTCATTCGGTCCAGCCATGGTAGCCCAGCTCCACTTTCCTCCTTAGCCTCCATTTCCACAGTTGTGAAATGTGGCTGCTAACAAGTATGAAGCCTTTGTACCATTTGGTGATGTCGTGAACATGAAGTGCTCTGCAAACTGGAAACTGCTGCACCCCTTTAGCAGCTACTATTTCTGCCCAGCATTACCAACAGCTGCAGGTTGCAGAGAGCGGGCAGTTCACATGAATGTGGAGCTTCCAGAGGAATCTGTGGTCTGTAAATGCCTTCGAGGCTCAACACATGCTTTCTTTGCCAGGATTTGGGGATTTCTGAATTCCTGCCAGCTTAGTGTGACAGCTTGGTGCTTCTGGCTGGAGTCCTTGTAGAATTGCCACCTCTGACTGTGGAGCCAAGGAAGGGAGCCCTGGAGTCACCAGATCTGGGCAGATGTGCAGTGCCCCCCCCCCACCCCAGATTCTCTTACCTGCTTGGGCCAGGCTAATTCAAACCTGTGTCCAGAATGAGGACCTGAACTGCCCCCTCTGGCACCTGCCCTCATCTTCACTCATAAGTCACTAAATTCTGTGCAACCCCGCTGCATGCAGGCTTTGGACACTCGCAAGGACAACTCAGGGCCTGTTCCTAGGGCACTTCCACCCAAGGGACAGACCAACTGTTCTGTTTGCAGACTAGACAAGACAGACCTCAGACAGATCTGAGACCTTATAGCCCCCTCCTCCATCCACTACCACGATGAATTCTCACTGTGTCCCAGGCTCTGTGCTAAGCACGTGATTTAGGCTGAAGCATTTAATTATTGCTACACCCCATGGTAGGTTCTCTTGTTAGCCCCACATGACAGATGTTTACACTGAAGCATGGACAGTTAGGCCATTCATCCAGGTCACACTGGTACTCATCCTGCATGCTGTACTCCCACCTGTGGCACCATCTGACTATGCACCTCTCATTCTCACTCAGGACCCTTTTGTGATAGTTTTTCACAATTCTAACAGCTCTATAGTTATGGCCTCATCCTTGAGGGCCTGCATACCTGTGCTATCATTATCAATTCCTAGGCTCTGACGACCTTTCACTTGCTTCTGCATATACTCCCAAAATTCTAGAATCCAGTGATCGACCCCAGATACAACTAGTGAATCCTAGAAAGGAATTCTAGTATCCAGTGCTCAGACTTGTGAGTCCAGGTTCAGCAGTGGAATCCTGGGTGTTGGGGGGACAGGGGTGGAATGGATGTAGGATTCCCCATCTAGAAAGAACCTGGGGCCTTGAGTATGCTCCAGCCAAATCCAACCTATGTAGGGACTGTCCCTTCTCACTGACCATTTGAAATATTAGGTGCTCCTCACTCTCACTCACTCCAGGACTTCATCTGATTGTTCAGAAAAGTTAATGTCACTGCTATGCCTACCAGGGCCTAAGGTGGGGACATGCATGCCAGGAGGCAGGTCCTTAGGTTCTGGTCCTGGATCTTGGGTAAATTGCTAGACCTCTGTCTGGGTAAGGAGGGGCTACACCAAATGATTTATCAGGCCCTCTTTCACTGGGGGGAGAGTGAGAGTTGTCTAGATCCCAAGAGTGGCCACCTGCCCTCTAATTAGGACTACTAATAATGATTATCATTTCAGCACCTGGAAGCCATTCGCTCAATTTAATTAGTCCAAGAAGTCTCCGGGAGGAGAGGGGGTGAAGGGACTGTGTCTGTCTGGAGGAGGGAGGGTGGGAGGATGGCCAGAGTAGCCAGAGGGACCCAGGGACTGGGTAGGAAAGCAATGGGCAGACTCTTCCCATAGGGGTGGGTTGGAGTGGGTTGTTGATTCCCAGAGGCAGAGGCAGAGGCAGGGGGCTGGGCAAGATGACCTCTGCACTCCCAGGCACTGAATGTAGCCCCAGAACTGAGAGTGGGATTGGAAGCTGAGATACTCTGCTGACCCCTCCCTCTCGCTCTGTGCTCACAGGTCCACTGGGGGCTCGGCCTGACATGGGGTCTGGTCCGGACCAGGGGCAGGAGAGACCCTGATGAGTGCCCGAGTCCCCAGACCGATGCCGCCCAAAGGGAAGAGCCAGGGACCCGGTTCCAGGGCGCCTGCGGTCCGCGCGCAGGGCTGGCTGCCCAGCCTGCCATCGCCGGCGCTATGCTGTGCCTGCAGTTTGTGCGTGCTGCTGGCCGGCGTGAACGTGACACTGGTAGGCACCTTCGCCTCCTTCCTGCCCAGGCACAACGTGCCGCTGATCGTGGGGCCAACACTCCTGGTGGTGGCGGCGTTCGGCTTCTTCGCAGCCTGCTGTGCGTGTAGCCGCAGGGTCCCCGCATCCCGCCCACGCTTCGTGGCAGCCAAGGGCGCAGACCAGGGGGGTGTCGGCACTGGGTCGGTGGCGCTGGAGATGGAGAGCAGCGAGCGCACGGCGCAGGACACCACAGCCGTGCAGCTGAGCCCGGCAGCCTCAGCCGCGTCTTCTGGCCGCTCCAGCCCAAGCCCCTGCCCCTTCGCCCTGGATGCCCCCTCGTCTGCTGCTGCCTACGATCTGGGCACCAGCGGACTTCGGCTCAACCTGCCCCGGGAGCACGAGGCCCTCTAGCGGCACGCGCCCTCCCGTACTCGCCAATCCGGGTCTGTTCGTTCAGTGCCCTATAAGAAAAAAGAGAAAGAGGAGGAAAAGAAAGAGAAGGCAAGAAAAAGGAAATTTTCATGAGGGTCGGGCGCCGGGCACAGGTAGCCTCATCTGTCCCGTCTCTGGAACTTCTGGAGGGGAGAGTGTGCCCAGGCATGTCCCTACTGCCAGGAGGGAGCAGCTCCTTGGCCCTCCAGGTGGGGTCTGCCAGGCCCTCCATTACTTCATTCCCAGCCTTGATGAAACTGGGCCCCTGGACCTTGAGTCCTAACGCCACCACCACCCACAGCATTTGGGGACTGTGAATGGGGCCACCCTGAGAGGAACGTACTACCCGCAAGGCCCACACCCCAAAGGAATGGGATGAAGCAGGAGAAGGGGAGGAGTATCAGCCCAAGGTGTCTGCTGTCCTTACATACCGTGAAAGGCCACGAGCTCCCCTTCTGCTCCTCCTCTCCCTCCTTGTCTCCACCTGCAGACCTTTTGGGATTAGTTGGGCAAGGTGTGGGAGGGGCTCTGATTTGAGCCAGGATGGTCCCTAAGGTAACAGCTGGGTTGACCACACTCCTCCCTTTCTGCCTGAGTAGATGGAGCAGGGAGAGCTGAGGCTGGGGCCCCCTCACTGTGCATTCTCTCCGGGCCTCCATTGTCAATAAAGCACCTTTGGAGTCAAGTCCTCTGTGGTGTGCAGCCCTAAAGGGAGGGCCTGACTGCAGGGCCCTGGATTCTGGGGTCCTCCGATCCTCCCGGAGACCCAGAGGGGGGCCCCAGGGGAGGGGAGAGTATGATGGTAAACAAAAGGCCGAGTCTGGGGTTGCCTGTGAATATCCATGTGAACAGGGGTGTCAGGCTGGGGGACTGGACAAATACATGAGTGTGTCTGGGTGAGATCACCTGGCTACATGTATGAAACGGGGAGTGTGAGCGACACTAACATCACCCATGTATGTGGGAGCCTGTGGTGGTGGCAGCGGTTAAGAGCTGGATCACCCAACAGGGGTGGTACGGAAGGAAGAGCTCCCAGGGCCAGGCAGATCCTAAACCTTTCTCCTGGCCTGCCTGGACTTGCAGGGTCTGAGCTGAGCCTATGTTCCTTCCGGGTGGGTGAGGGCATCTGGTGGAGAAACGGAGGCTGCTTTGCAGGAAGAAACAAGGGAGCTGGGGTCTGGGGTGAGGGTGCTGCACCCTCCTCTCACTGCAGGGACCAGGGCCAGCAGTCCCCAGTGAGCATGGCACACACCGGACCACCACCCCTTGTCGGCCATGACTGCCTGCCCATGCACCCTTGGCTTCCTCAGCCTCCCTTTCTCTTTCCAGAGTAGGCTTTGTTGCTCTTCTGTTTGGAACCTGGATCTTCCCATCAGCCCTGCGGCTCTGTCTGCCTTCCTCTGACCCCCTCTCTGCCTCTGCTTCTCCTGCTGCCTCCCCCTCTCATTGACCTGGAGAAGGATGAATCTGTCTCACTAGGTGTTGAGCAGGTCATCTCTATTAATTCACATGGGTCGATGGTTCCTAACCTTTGAAGCATCCAGCCCCTGGAGCTGATGACCTCTTCTCAGAGAACTCCCCCACTTCCCGCCTGTGTGTGTGTGTGTGTGTGTGTGTGTGTGTGTGTGTGTGTGTGCAGGAAGGGCCGCCTTCCCAGGCTCCAGTCCTGTCTCTTCCAGTTCACTGGTCTGCAACCTCAGACACCACCTTCTGCCTTGGTAGAGTAGCAGGTAAGGGGGGGTCACTACTGATGTTGCCTTGGAGTGTGGTCTGGCTCACCCTTCCCCTACCTTCTTAGGGGAGACACCCCAGACTCTAGCCCTGGAATGCTAGGCCCAGCCCAAACCTCTCCCCCACCTGTGGGCAAGGGCCTGGCATTGCAAACCATCTTCCTCTTCTCCCACCACAAGAAGACTTCCATGTCCTGCCTGGACTGCTGAGGAAGAAAGGTAAACAGGAGATAAGAGCCATGGGTCACACGGAGATGGTGTGAGTGAACAGAATGGGTGGGGTGGGGGGGAGGCGATGTTGGCTCCCTGGATTCTCCTGTCCACTGCCACCACCAGCCGAAGGTCATTTGTCTCATCTGTGTTTCCTCCCTCTCAGGAGGAGATATTCTCTATACCCCAGACCCCACTTTCCAATCAGCCACCCTAGGAACCCTCACCCCAACCTCTCCAGGCCTGCCCCACCAGGGGACTCTTCCCCTCACACTCCTTCAGGACCCTCTGGGGGCAGCACAGCCACTACAAAAGCCCCAAAGGGAAAGTAAACTTGACCTCCATATGTCAGGTCAAGAGAAAAAGGGCTGTGGAGGCACAGGTGGGAGATGAAGTTGGTGAGGGTGGGAAAGGAGTGTATTGCTCAGTCAATAAAGCTGAGTAAGCCAGGGAGAGGAGTTGGGATTTATTCCTGGCAAGATGGGAGCCAGTGGAGGGTTTTAAGCAGGGAAGTGACATGATCTGATTTATGATTGTAAAGATTGCTCTGCCTGCTGTGTGGAAAATAGAGTGTTGAGGGGCAAGAGGAAAATGGGGTGGATTAGTAAGCGACTGCAGTGAGATATGCTGGGGGCTGGGGCAGAGGGGACTGTGAAGTGGGCAGGTTCTACACCCACTCTTTGAGGTCTTCCTGTTGGGGGACTTTAAGGGCAGTGGAAAAGAAGAATCTCAGAGGAAGTTCTAGAATTTTGGTTTGAGCAGCTCAGTATATGGTGAAAGGTAAGGAAGGGCTCTTGGAGGATAAAAGGCCTGTTAGCCTAATGGAACTTCCCACAGGAGCTGGAGCCATGCCCTGAATTGAAAGGGAGCAGAGGAGATGCTGGTTTAGAAGCCATTGGCACTGGGGTGGTGGCTAAGCCATGAGTCCAGATAAGGCACATGGGGAGAAATGAAGACAGAACCCAGAGTCTAGACTAATCTAATTGCTGAGACTAGGGGGGGACAAGGTACCCCAAGTTCTGAATCTCACTGCCTTTCTGCCGGGGCTCATGCCTTGTTGATAAAGTCTGTAGGCTAGCAGTTGGATTAGGGAGAAGTGAGCAAAATATGAGCTCCCAGACATTGGGATTTGTGTCTTGTTTGCTGCTATGCACTGGTGCCTACCTGGCACAAGGTAGGTGCTTGGTAAATATGTGTTCAATGAGTGAAAGGTGTGAATCTCATCCCACAGCTGAAGCTCTAGTTCCCCCTAATAGAAATTTACCAAGATATCCAGGTCTGGGCAGGAAAGGAGAACAGCTCCTTTGTGTGTGGGAGTCCCCCTGGCCCGTTCTTGCTTCCCACTTCTTTGTGAGGAGGTCAGCGGACACAGGAATGTAGAGCTAGCTGGGTGGGCATTGATTGACGTGCCTGAAGGCCAGGCTCCCAAAAGTAGGCAACGGCCAGAGAGGTGAGCCAAGCCTGAGGAAATCGGCACTGCTAGGAAGTGCCACTAGAGGGCAGCCTGGGTATATGACAAGGGATAGAGATCAATCAGCCCAAGCAGCCTGCAGGACTTGGCCTTTTCCTTTTCTGAGTGTCAAGGCCCTGCAGGATGGGAGGAGCTAGGAGTAGGGTATGCTTGCAGAGGGGATAGGGAGGAGGATTAAGTCACCCAACTTTACTAAATGACACCTGCCCTGGAACAGGACCTTATCACAGAGGGAGCCCTGACCCTAGAGCTCACTTAGTCTTAGACTTTATCAAGGTCACGGGCAAGTCCTGAATCAGGTCACAGACGGAACTGTCTCCCAAGTCCATACTGAATCCCAGCCTGAGCTCGATCCTGGTCACACTCTGAGCCCTGACCCTACCTGGTCCATGCACTAGGCCCTGATCCTGATCTTAGACTGACTACTGACTCAGTCCAGAGCCCTGACCTTTACCCAAGGTTGAACCCTGAACTGGACACAGACTGAGAGCCTTGATGCTAGATACCTAATAAGCTCTTATTTCGGTTACAAAGTGAACTCTGACCCTGAGCCGTACACTGAGCCCTGACCCCGGATGAAGATTACACTGTCATCATGGCCAAGGCTGAGCCTTGACACCTGAGACTCGCTCCCCCAGTACCCACTGACTAAAGGGCCTTTTCAGACGAGGCTCCCATGCCAGGCCAAGCTTCCGCGCCAAAAGGAAGGAACTCCTGGAGCCACTTTTGAGGGAGAAAGAAGGAGTTCTGGGTCTTTGAATGATCCAGAAACTCCTGGGTATTGAATCCCTAAGAGGCCAGGCAGAGAAAGGCTGGTTCTAGGCCGTCTAGGGCATGAGGGAGGGAGTACAGCCAGGCCTTCGCCAGGTCCTCCTGGGGCTCTGGGGCGGGGCCTTCCTGCCTGCCTGTGTGTCTGGGAGCCTCTTCCTCCTGCACTTCTGAGTCCTGCGGAACCTCGGGCAAGTCCCTTCTGCTCACTGGGCGGCGCTTCACCCCTTATTACCTTCCAGGGAAAATGAGGAGAAGGTCACCTGTTAAGAGAGTCAGACCAAGCCACCACTGTGTCCCTGTGTCCCCACCCTGTGCCCTGACAGGAGGAGAAGCCCCCTTGCTCTGGGAGCTTCCTCTAGCCAGTCACGCCAAAGAGGCAAGAACAAGTGAATTGTGCTCAAGGTGGCTCCAGCAAGGCCTCAGCTCCAGGTGGGCAGCAGCCCGTGAGACAGGAGCATGGGCTGGGAAGCAGAGGTCCTAGAGGTCTCTGTACATTCCTGGGGTCTGATGTGTGTGAGGAGGGGGAGGTCCACAGAGACCCTGTGCCCCCACCACCCGCCCACCCTGACCCAGCTCACCAACCAGTTCAGTTTCTGCCCCACCCAGGGTGCAGCCCAGGTACCTTTTGCCTGCAGAGCCAGGCTGGCCTCTGTTGGGCCCATGGGCCTCAGGCTCACCTTGGGAGACACCCAGGGTGGGAGTGAGGGCTGAGCCAGGCAGGAGCCAGGCGGGGGAGGGGGCGGCCTGAGTCAAAAACGCTGACGCGGAAGACAATGAGCTCTCCGAGGCTGAGGCAA